TCTCTCTCTCTCTCTCTCTCTCTCTCTCTCTCTCTCTCTCTCTCTCTCTCTCTCTCTCTGGTGTTGTAGAACCTAATGCAGTATATACTACCTGTTTAATCTTCCACTTTCAACAGAACAAATGGACCAAATCTTGTGAGTTTCTCATAGAGACTGGCATATCTGCTTTGATTTCAAGATGATAGTAACACCTTGTTACACCTAAAGGATCAACTTCAACAACTTTCTATATCTATGCCATCAGAAACATTAACAGCAACTCCACAAAAATAATAAAAATCCTAAGATTTTAAAAAAGTTTTATTTAAAACACACTACTTATCAATTTGTTTATTTATATAGCAGAAGAGTAAAAATTTAACAAACCAAAAATATTAGATCTAACAAATATTTTAATAAGTCAGTCAGATGATGTTTTGTCTCCTGTGTCCATAAGTACCAGAAGACACAGTAGGAAGGACCTTAATTTAGGGTGGGGTTTTTGTTGCTTCTCCCAATGATCTAACTCATCTCCTTGAAGTGCTACATTCTTCCAAATAGCTAAATCTATTCTTCTTTTCATTATGTATGGATTATATTTGTATATGTATGTATATATGTATATAATGTGATGATCAAATAAAAGTAATATGTACATTTTTAGATAATCGTTTATGGCCAGTTTATTCCATCCTTAAGAGTTTGCCTGTGAACTGAGAAGACACTATTTTGTTATCTTTGTGGTAGTGTTTGCAACAGTCTTTGCAACTAAATCCTTACAGACATGAAAGCTTTACATATTCTTTATTATAAAATGTTAAGTGTTTCATTAATTTTAAGAAGCCTGCTCAAAAGAGAAATTTTGCCTTTAGTGGTCATAGTGACTGTTTATGTTTATAGATCTATAAAAAATGATAGAGTAAGATCTAAAGGTAGATTTCATGCAGAAAGCTGATATACTAATCTTCCACCCGTATCCATTCCCAACATTTTCTCTCCCTTGTAGAATTTCCTGGGAGAATAAGAATATACTATGCTAGAAATTCAATGTTATAAAGCCAGTGTTTGTAGATAGAATTTATTTTATAAATAAATGTAGCAATTTTTAAAGTGGCTTAGTGTTAGCATGAGTTCACAAAGAAAATAAGTGAAGACATATCTTTTTTAAAAGAATCCATCTTCAAGAGTGACCTGAAGGAAATTTGTAGCTAAAATTGTGATGAGGCAGAGGTCCGATGGAAGCAGAAAGATGTCAGTAGAAATACAGATAGATAGGGAGGTCCAGACGAATGGTAAAGAGCAGCCAAGGGAGAAAGAAAGGAAGAAAACAGGGCAGAAGAGAAAGAGAAATATCTTAGTTCTTTATCTGCTGTCTTGATTTCTAGAGTTTTTGTTTTCCACATTCAACTATGTTCCAAAAATATTCAATATGAAATTACAGAAATGGAAAGAAATTTTAGGGTTTAAACACCTTTAATTTCAAGATATTGGTTAATTGTTCTGTTTTATTAATACTTCAAATCTCTTTTCATGTCTAATTTATAAATTAACCCTGATCATAGATAAGCATGCAAAGTAAAAAGCAGTGTATTTAGGAACCAGCACTGCTCCACTATTAAGCACCTACTGGCATTCCTGTTAAAAATCTCTCTGGACAAGAGGTGACCTACTGTATTGTAGGCAGAGAAAACAGACAGCAGCCATTCACTGCCCAAATTGATATACTGAAATCACTAGAACTAGGTGTGACATGGTTATAAACTTTTTTTAAAAAAAGGTTTGGGTTAAAATACAATTGAATAAAAATGATCCTTTTAATTGAAATTAAACTTAACAAAACACAAAATATAAATGATAACAAAACCCAGCGGTGCAGGTCATCAGGCTGGCTCAGCAGGTAAACATACTTGCCACCAATCCTAAAAATCCAAAATCTTCTTGACCATATAGTGGAATAAAATAAGCAATTCCAAAGAGTTGTTCTCTGACCACATACATACCCTGGACACACACATGCTACATACAAGCGTGCACACACACACAGACACACACACAATTTTTTAAAAATCTTAAGAATTTCACCTGTTGACTTTTAAAGTAAGAATAACAAGTGAAAGGAGACATGTTGATCCAAAGGTCACCTTCAAAATGGATCTTCCTCCTTCACCAAAAGCCGTAAGGGTAGATCTTAGGAAGATCGCCTCTTTTTAAATCATTCATAAGAGTTCAACTTAACTTAAAACCTTCACTGATTCAGTGTGCAGAGCAAAATGCATTCTAACTCCTGGACTTTCTCAATTTCTTTTAAATAACACTTTTGACATAAAGTCTCATAAAACTTCAGCTCAGGCTTGTCACAAACTCACTATGTAAATGAGGATGACGTTGCCCTTCTGATTTTCAGGCCTCTACATGCCTAGTGCTCAGATCATAGGCATTAACCACCACATCTAGTTATGTGGGGCTGAGACCAGATTTAGTGTATGGTAGGCAGTATTCACCGCCTCAGCCCTCAGTTAATGTAGTCTTTATTCTTATATCATAAAAATAGAGAAAACAACACAGTGCTATATACATGCATGAGCGCGGGTGCGCGCGAGTGTGTATGTGTGTAATAATATTTTAAAGAGAATAAGCAAACATTTAAAATATTTGCTATTTCAATGAAGATGACCCATGATGCAGATATAAACTTGACACTTGACACTCACAGTAAGAGCAGCCGTAGACTTCTGCACGCAGCCCTATGTGGCCTTCTCCGTTCCAGTCCAGGGGCACAATGCGTACATAACGGGCAACTACTGCATGCTGCAGGTCATGCCGGACCACACTGTCAGAATTGACGTTTCCTGGAAAAGCCTTCAATGAAAGAAAAAAAAAACATTTTAAAACCTTTAAAGAACATCTCGGTGACAATCATATATTTTGTGTAATAAATGAAACTCATATTTTCACCTCCAGTGATATCTGGATTTTATAGCTTCTTACATCAGAAACACCTGAAAAATAAAGCTTTTCATTTTTTTTTTTATTTAAAAAGGTATTGCTTTTGGGGGAGATAGTTAAGGAGATAAAATACTTGTCATGAGAGCTAATGCTTGTAGATTATTGGATCCCCAGAATTCATAAAACAAGTAAGTAGGTGAGGGGGTCTCCAGAAATCGCAGCATTCTAGAGGCCGTGATGGGATCCTCAGTGCATGCTAGCTATCTAGACCAGCAGAAGTTGGGGGCGCCTAGGCCTGTGAGAACTTGTCTTGGAAAATAAAGTGGAAAGCAACAGAGAAAGGGAATCAACGTTGGACTTATACACACATGAAACACAACAAGTGCACGCTTACAAATGCAACGCAATCATTTACATTTGTGGGGTAAAGGAAAAATATTGTTTTAATTGGGAAATGGGCTAAAGTAACCACAGATCCTCTCAAACACATTAACATCTTTTCCCAAATCATTAGGCTCCCTTGTCATTTCACAATGACAGGTGTCTGGCATAGGTGAAACAGGCACATCTGTGGTGACAGCCTGTGAATCGCCTGAAGGTAAGTAAGCCTTTGGTGGTTTGTTTCTCTGACCTGTCCTTCAGTTTCTTTTCCAAGCAACCTGAAGAATACTGACTAACCTGAAGACATAAAAAAGGATGGAGAATCAAGTCTCCAGATACTGCATTTGAGCAGTAGACATCGGACAAAAGCTGCTGAAATTTTTGAGAAATATAGGATGACTAACTCACCAAAGTATAGCATAGCATTTCCTAAAGGTAAATCCAGTAGTTATAAAAAAATGTTAATTCATATGATACTTTCTTCTAGATTTGATACAATATAACACTCAGCGCTTTTTTTCAGACCCAAGAGTGCTTTGAGATTTAAAACACTACATTAACTGTCATTTTGTTTTTCTTTTATTCTGTTTATTTATTTATTGAAATTTTTCCATACAGTACATTCTGATTGTGATTTGCATTACTCCTCTCCAATCCTCCCCACCTCCTAAGCCACTGTAACCCACATTCTTTCTTTCTATCTTACAGTAAAAACAAACACGTGTCTAAAAATATAAAATAAAATAAACATACCACAATGAGACAAAACAAATTAATAAGATAAAAAGCAAAGAAAAAAGCACCAGAAATACATGTAGCCACAGACATACAGTGAGCTGTTTGCATATGCATAAAGCTGAAGTTTTAACCATCAGAGAGAGGTAAGTATTAGCATTCATACTGTATATCATACAAAGTGGTAAATATGTCTTAATAGGATAGTATTTAAAAAACATTAGGAAAGCAGAGAGATGTACAGCTAAAAGTTTAATGAAATAAGCCAATATTTATATAACACATTATTATTTTAAAAAATTGTATATTCTGCAACTAATTTTCCTAAGCATGCTAACTTCCCTAGCAACATTTGGGTTCACCGGGAGGAAATGTGATGACAGAATGTGGCCTGTCTAGACATGGGAAGACAGAGCAAAGTCAGAAGCTCATGTATCCACTTGCTTTATTTGAAAGTTATATTTTCAGAGAGAAATACATGCTTTGGTCCCACTTAGACACCATACATTTTATTTCATTATTATATATTTGACTACAAATTTGAAAGTCTGATTGAGAATTTCTGTCTCCATACTTTCATTACAAAATTGGTGTCTGTCCTCTCTGCCACATGATCTATGTTGCTTGTCTATTTCACTTTTTATTTTTGTTTCTACAAACAATTTACATGATCAATATTTCCTTTACTGACTCATTTTTACCAAACATGCTTCCATTGTAAGCATCAGCACCAATATCTCCTCCACAGTTTGGATATAAACAGCCGAAGCCTGAGAGGCACTGATGACTGAAATGAAGATTGCCCATTAACGCTGCTTTCCCTTTGTGATTAAATTGCTATTGGTCAGGGAAAGTACTTATGTCCCTTGATTTCACTCATTCTCAGAGGATTGTAATTTTCATGTAAGCAGGAAAATGGAAGAAATAAGACAAACACTGATTTTTACAAAACAAAGTATTAAGATTTGGGGTTTGCTTCAATAGTTGAAAATTGAAATGGAATTTGAAGCTTTGTACTATTAAATAATGCCATTCAAAATTTAACCTTCATTGAACAGATAGTATATAATAATAAGAGTTTCTTAGAGGCTTAAAAAAATCAGACAAATTTATTGTTGAAAGACTAAAAGTAAAACATCAGTCTGTAGCAACCTGTTAGTTATATGTTGCTGGTGTTGCTTTTCTTCTGTTGTTCATGATTTGTATATTTTCTCAGAGTAGAATATCTTTATTATTATTATTTTGGTTAACACAGCAGTCATGTAACTCACAATGCTTTATAAGCACTAACTAACAATATAATATAATGTTTAATTTTTCTGTTGTTCTTAGACTGACAACCCTATAAACTGCACAAATACAGAGAAAAGATAATTTTTGAAATGCATTGTGAGACCCTTACTAGATTAACTTTAAAATAATCAATTGTATTGAAATTTTTAATAATTAACAGTCTTCCATGTACACTATCTCTATGACTCAAATAGCAAAATAGATTGTCCATGGTGTTATACAAATGTTTCTATAAAGTACAAGATAGTATGTATTCTAGATTTCATATTTTGTGCACTTCTCTGTCCCATGCTATCTGTGCTTTAATAGCACAATATATAGTGGATAATCTGATCTTCTTGTATTGCAAATAGATTCAAAAATGAGGAATAGACCACAGTTGACCCATAGCACAGTTGGATGCTATATTTTACCAGCTTGTCTCCTTGAAGAGCTTTACTTTTCCCTTTGGGGAGAGAAGTTAAAAACAAATGGGGGCTGGATATGTGCCTAGCAGGTGCTGTAGCAATGAGCTAGGTCATCATCATCCAAAGAAACTCTAAACTTGGACATGCCGGTGCTGCCTTCAGACAAGACCCAAAAGTCAGTCCTCATTTTAAGACTTTGTAGCTACTTGGCAATTTAAAATTCAGTAAACTATTGAAAGAGTTTTAAACTGTCAAAGCATGTAATTTATCAGACTGTAGATACTACCATGGAGGTCTGTGGTGTGACATGTAACATATTTTATGAATAGAATAAGTATATTAAGTCCATGCTAAAACTTTCAGTTGTTTTCAAGAGAGCTTCCATTCAAAGCCATATCATGTCAGGAGCCCGGTATAGCTATCCCCTGAGAGTTCTGCTAGAGTCAGACCAATACAGATGCGGATGTACACAGCAAAACAATGGACTGGAGTGAGGGGACCTCAATGGGGAATTTAGGGCAATGACTGTAGGAACTGAAGGGGTTTGCAACCTCATAGGGAGAACAACAATATCAACCAACCAGAACCCCCCAACTCCCAGGGACTACACCATCAACCAAAGAGTACACAGGGGTACCCATGGCTCCAGCTGGATTTGTAGCAGAGGATTGCCTTATCTGGTATAAGTAGGAGGGGAATACCTTGATCTGATTGAGGCTTGATGACCCAGGATAGGGGAATTCTAGGCCACTGAGGCAAGAGTGGGTGGGCAGGTGGGGAAGCATCCTCATAGAGGCAGAGGGTAGGGAGGAGAGGATGGGGGTTTGTGGCAGGGAAACGTGGAAGGGGGATTGTTGGGAGTCAACTCCTAGTCGAAAGCGGCTATCATCTTTACAGCCATCTCAAGCCATATACCCTGAAAAGAGACTTGTTTTCAACAGCCTGCAATAGCTGAGCACACTCTGATAAACATCTTGTTACACTGTTTAGTGCCCCCAGCTTCAAGGTGCACGTGGTATCCATGGCTACAAGGCACGTGATGTAGTGCCTTCAGTTAAGCTTGTCCACGAGGGCAAGTCACGTGGTAAAGGGTGTAAAATACCCAGGATTTCCTTTCTATGGAGGAGAATATAGGAGAATATAAGAGACTAAAGGAGAATAGAGGAGACTATGGGAGAATAAAGAAGAGACTTGAAGAGACTCGACCAGTCTCTGTCTTGTATCCATTTTTTGCGTCTTTCGTCCTTCCTCCATCCCCACTCTCTCTGTTGCTAGACCCTGACCTGCGGACCGGAGCAGCAAAACGGGCCATTACAAAGTAGCAGAACCGGCCATTACAAAAGAAACAGCCATTACAGGGGATAACATTTGGAATGTAAACAAATAAAATAACCAATAGAAAGGAAAAAAAAGCCACAAATGTACAGCAATCTGATGACATGTTGGGACTTAAAGATTTTGCTTAACTAAAATTGAACCTATAAGCCGTAACCTTTGTGTAAATCGACATAGATAGGCCTCTAAGTGTTACTGACAGAAGTTAACTTAGGAAATTAGGAGGAAAATGGGAAGAAAGCAATAACATCAAACCTGTGTGTTTCCTAATGTGGGCAATGGTCTGCCAGTGGAAAAAATGCTCTAGTAGAAACAGTGTCTATTCATGACTCTGATATTATAAACCATGATCTCTACAACCATTTTCCATCTATTTCTCTTTGTGACTCTAGTTTTTATTTTCTTATTCCAACAATTTATAGTAAAGTTGAAAAACAGAGTTGCCATGGTGTAGTATCATGAATTTCCAAGTTACTCCTTGCTGAGGGAGGTACATAGAATGTCATTCTTTGCGTGTTGGGTGTCTTGTGCATTTTTTTCTTACTCCTCCTCTTATCCTGGCCTCTTACCCTGGAACCTCAACTCACTTTTTTTAAACCAGGTGCTCACACGCATCCTGAAAGTACTTTCTGATTATAGGTATATTTCTGACTTCACTTTTCAAATCCCAGCTATACCAAGGCCACCTCATAAAATTCTAGACTATATCGTTTTAGTGCATCTGTATTTGATCCCTCAAATACAGGGGCCAATGGTCAACAG